ATTTTCTTGAATTTCTCGCTTGCATAAATAACTTTAAACACGTTTTAAAGTAGGTTGCCAATGAAGAAAAGTATTGTAATCTTAGACCTGGTAAGTACTCGGAATACCAAAGGTATTTTTCGAAAAATTAGCCCGGATGTCCCAGTACATTTAGTGTAAATGACGGCTATAACTACGTAACTAATTGATCAATCGATCTGTTTTTTTTTAAAGAAGCGTCTTTCCAAAAACTTTTAAAACCTGCTTTAAAAAAATTGATTTTACTGAATATTCACAAAGTTCTAATTGTTTATAAGTACAAAAATTCGACCAATGTTTAAACAAGCACCAGAGCTCTCCTAATTGACGGATTCGAATTTTTCAAAAAACGTTTAAAAGCTTGAGAGCCCTTCTATATGTGATTAAATTTTCAAGTATCTAAGGGCCTTGGTTTTTGCTGTGCAAAATTTTGAAAATTTGCAATTTTTTTTTTCAAAATCTGGATTGCAACATTATTATGCAAAATCTATCGAACCGATTTTGATGAAATTTGGTGTGATATTCTACATAACATGAAGTTTTTTTGAGCCAAAAAAAATTCCCTAAAAAGTATTGTTTTTTAACCCCATTTTTGCGATTTTTTCGATTTTTACCATAATAATCAAGATTAATTCGGTTTTTAACTAGACATGTTTTGTAAAAAATTTAATTGCAAACACTTTTTACCTCTTCCATTTTCGCCTAAAATCAACTCTTGAAAAGATACATAATTAAATAGGAAGAAAAATATGACAATTTTCGAACTTTTTTAACATATTGTGCCGCCAAAAGTTAAGCCCACGTTTATTTTTATGCGCATAGAAAAATTTTAATTTCTAGTGATATTTGAAAGCCAAAAAGCCAAAAATCTCCGTGGATATATGATTCACCCAAATCAAAACAGATACCGCCTGGTCTAATTAGGAAAGTCCTAATCTAAGTTTCAAGGTTAGTGATATGGATTTTGCCCTCCTACAATGTCATACGGAAAAGGTGCTATCAACATTCAGAGACTTTAGTCAATGCTAAAGTCGATACATTGATCAAGTCAATGATCTTGTTTGTCCTAAAATAACCATTTGTGCTGTTTATTATAGGTCTGTTCAAGCATCGATCCGGAACTAGTTTGAGACTGTCAAAAGCGTTGGACCAACTATTTCTTGCAGTACATCCACTGAAAGTACATTAACAATTTAACTGATCGAATGTTTCTGACGGTTTGAAACCAGTCCCTAATTGATGCTAGAACAGACCTACTACAAAAACTATTAAAATTTATTGAAAATTCAAATTTCTATTTCAAAGCTGGTAATATGGATTTTGCCCAAAAATGGCAGTTGATTGCGGTACTTCAAGGTCGTCAAATTACAGATTTCTGTTTTAACACAAATTTAAAAAGTACGTACGTCTCGGCTACAAACCCTTTAAACCCTTTCTCCAAACTGTCGTTTAAATCTTTGCCGATTTCGTGGAAAACGGTTTTACCTAGCCAATCTGCCAGAGCGTCTTTACCTATTTGCCTCAAACGGTGCTCTAAAATTTCGTGAGTTTCACCTTTTCCCTCGCCTGATTGCGAATTCCAATGATGCAACAGTTCTATACATGGCAAGTCTTTGGATATTGTCCTTTCTTATAAAAAAATAACGATATTTTTACTCTAGTAAAGTTTGGAAAATTGTTGGAGAAAACGTACCGACCTGATCCAAGATCGGCGGTTCTTCGTAACCTTTCAAATGAGCAGCTGCAACCAACTGTCTACACTCTTCCCTAGTTAAGTGGTCGGCTAGGTATTGCAGCTCAGCTGCATTTAAATCTACCGTGCAAAAGACGTTTTTTAAAAAAAACCAGCTGATTATATTCAGAAATACTTTTGGACAAAGTAGCAGCATGTTCACAAATGACAATAAACTGTCAAAATATAATGTTTTAATAAACTGGTTGGTTTAATATCCACTATGGAGAGTAGGTGTAGGTACTAACTACCCTCCATAATATCCACTAACCCAAATAACAAAAATAGCCGGCCCAGCACTTGTCAAGTAATGACTAAGTAATAACTTGAAGTTTAAGTGTGTAGAACTGCTAATTAGACACTTTATTTATTCAATAAGTTAATTAATGTTTCTAAAGTGCTTTTAAAAAATGAAATTATAGCGTACTAAGCCTGCCATACGGCCAGTAAAGTATTTCGAGTTATACAGGTATATGTCTGGCGTGCCCAAATCTTTTGTCGGGATTTACATTTACAAAGTCTTTTCAGTAAAAAAAATCGAAATGAAATGAAATAAATCTATAAATCGAATATTTCATTCCATCTCTAGTCAAACATGTTCAAAGAAAAAAATATTCCAAGTATACTATTTTATACAAAGTTGTAGTATTTCTACTTTGCCTTCCAGGTTCTAATGATGGAGTAGAAAGACTTGTTTTTAAAATGAACTATTATTTGATAAGTGGGAAAACCAATATTGGATAGTAGGGGTAGCCAATTAATGCTTTAATTCTGCAATATAATTTAAATATAAACTATTTAGAACTGTATGAGAAATTAATGGAATACTTACAGGTTTATGTCAAAAAATTCACAAATGTGACAAATAGTTAAAAATAGTAAGGCAGATGGGTATTGGCTACTCCCTCCATTCGCGCTTTGATATTTTAAACCAAAATTACACGAAAAGTGTGCTAACTTAAGATAAAAATATGTGCTAAATTTCAAATAAATATCTACAATCACCAGGGTTATCAATAAAAATATTTTTTTAATTTTAATTTTGACAACCGTATTTTGAAAATGGGGTTCCGAAATTAAAAGTGAGCATAAGAAATGTCCCATTATTTTAGTCCAAGAAATATGTGGTTAACTGCTTGACTTACTAATTTGTAACACCCTGTATATTTATAAAGAAACACGGGACCAATATACTGTTATTCATTAATTTGTGCTGTTATTTGAGTGATGATTTCTAGACCCACAAAGACTAGTTTTGTAATAAATGTAATTGTGTAATTTCATTTTATTGGAATAAAATGTAAGTGGTACTTGAATGCCTTTTTTATTATTTTTTTTTATTTATTATAAAAAAGATATGTTGAAATGCGTTATTTCAGATTCATTTTTTCATTACAGATATCATCTACTTAAATTTCACCCTTTTGTATGCCTTGTAGTATGTGTTTTACTACTATTGTATTGTTTTGTATACAGGCTGTCTACTATAAGAGGGCCACTCCTACGTATCTCGCTTAATGCACGTCAAAAATCTTTTGTATGTTTTTTGTTCCTTTTTTTGAGGCCTTGATGCTTGTAAAAGCAAATTTGAGATCCATGGCATTAGTAATCATAAAAAAACCGGAAAAGTACCGACAGTTTAGGGCCGTCTAACTTTTCTATTTTAAGGGATAAAGAACTTATTTTAATAAAATTTCATGGCAAAATTGATATTTTTCAGCCGGTGTAAACAAATTTTTGAAGTATCGTATGTAATTTGCTGCGCCCTCTACGCGGACAAAAAAANGTAGATCCCACAAATGGGGCTGTTACAGATTGAAATTTATACTGTGATTTAGTTATGTCCTAAGGAATCTTACATATACTGGAAACGGAAAAATTCAGAGGCTACGAGGGTCAAACGATTTTTTTTCTGTTTAGGGTTGAAAAAACCGTAGATCCCACAAATGGGGCTGTTACAGATTGAAATTTACACCGAGATTTACTTTTGCACTGAGGAATCATACATATCGAGGAAACGGAAAAATTCAGAGGCTACGAGGGTTAAACAACGTTTCCTCGATATGTATGATTTCTTAGGGCATAAGTAAATCCCAGTATAAATTTCAATCTGTAACAGCCCTATTTGTGGGATCTACGCTTTATTCAACCCTGAAAAAAAAAATCGTTTGACCCTCGTAGCCTCTGAATTTTTCCGTTTCTACGATATGTAAGATTCTATAGGATATAAATAAATCTCAGTATAAATTGCAATCTGTAACAGACGCATTTGTGGGAGATACGATTTTTTCAACCCTGAAGAGAAAAAAAATCGTTTGACCCTCGTAGCCTCTGAATTTTTCCGTTTCTACGATATGTAAGATTCTATAGGATATAAATAAATCTCAGTATAAATTTCAATCTTTAACAGCCCCACTTGTGGGATCTACGGTTTTTTCAACTCTGAAGATAAAAAAAATCGTTTGACCCTGTAGCCTCTAAATATTTCCGTTTCCATGATATGTAAGATTCCTTAGGACATAAGTAAATCTCACTATAAATTTCAATCTGTAACAGACGCATTTGTGGGACACGGTTTTTCCAACCCTGAAGATAAAAAAAATCGTTTGACCCTCGCAGCCTCTGAATTTTTCCGTTTCTAGGATATGTAAGATTCCTTAGGACATAAGTAAATCTCAGTATAAATTTCAATCTGTAACAGCCCCATTTGTGGGATCTACGGTTTTTTCAACCCTGAAGATAAAAAAAATCGTTTGACCCTCGTAGCCTCTGAATTTTTCCGTTTCCATGATATGTAAGATTCCTTAGGACATAAGTAAATCTCAGTATAAATTTCAATCTGTAACAGACGCATTTGTGGGAGATACGGTTTTTTCAACCCTGAAGAAAAAAAAAACGTTTGACCCTCGTAGCCTCTGAATTTTTCCCTTTCCATGATATATAAGATTCCTTAGGACATAAGTAAATCTCAGTATAAATTTCAATCTGTAACAGCCCCATTTGTGGGATCTACGGGTTTTTCAACCCTAAACAGAAAAAAAATCGTTTGACCCTTATACACACATTAAAACGTATCTTTAATAATAAACTACAAATTTCTTTAAAAGCAATTGTTTCTTATGAAGAAATATTTATTTAATTTGATCATATATCTTTATTTCAGTATTACTCATGTATTTGGAACAATTCTATTTTATGTTTAGAAAATGTATTAGAATCAAAGATACATCCTAAATTTAAACATATAATATAATGTATTAAAACATAGTAAATTATAATGTAAAACAAATCAATTTCTTTAAAACAATCATGTTTTAAGGTTGCATCTACATTTTGGTTATTTTAATTTAAATGAACTTATTTAAAACAAATAAATCATAAGTCCAAATTAAAACACTTATTTTATCAAAGGAATAATAGTATTTATTGACATAAAACTATCATATCGTTAAATTTTCAGATAAACTGCATTTAAAGATGTGGTATAGTTGATTTTAGTATATTGTTTTAATTCAAAACTATCATATTTTTAAAACTACGGCGAAAAGCGTGGATTAACTTTCAGCGACAGCCAAAGGCATTTAGACTTTTAACTTCTACCACATGCAGTTACTCGTCTCGTATGTGTTTTATAACTTGCAGTGTAGTGTGAGTGTGTATGGTGTATAGTCTGTGGTGTACTGTACTGTGTAGTACATCGTAGGAGTGTGTAATGTAGTCTTAGACAAGAACAAGACTACTTAGAACATTTAACTGCTTCTGATTATGGTGTTAAGGAAAATTGCATTTTCATTGAACTGGATGACTTTCACATATATAAAAATATTAGTTGTGATTTAATGCATAACCTTTTCGAAGGAATCCATCGTTATGAAATGGCGAAAATTATTAACAATTTATTAACTAATAACTATTTTACATTAAGCTACATTACTAAATGCTCGAATTAAGTATAACTCTTATA